TGTTTTTTTGAGAATATTTTGTTTTTGGTGTATTTTGTTTTGTTTTTCGTGTATTTTGTTTGGAAGTCGGTTTTGTTTTTTTATTAATTACGTCTTCTATACCCATCATGAAATACGTTGCAGCACTGCGAGAACTAAACACGGTCCGTCGAACGCAAGTTACGTCAGAATCGACACGTGGAACGACTCCATGAATCAGATTAGATTTAAGTATTCCAGTTGCTATTTTCATATCGGGTCATGCACATCGACGTTAACTCTGCCTGCTAACTCGCTGACATTTAGTTCGTTCAAACGGTGGTAAGCTGACAATGTCGGTCCCAAATCAAGCCATAATAACTGACATAGACAATAATTTAAAATCAAACTTGATTTGTGACAGTGATGCTATACAAAGTTCTTTGTGTGTTATAAAGAAATCATCTCTGGGTGGAAGAGGACTGTTCACTCGGAAGAGAATCGAGAAGGGGAGTTTAATTTTCACTAATAAGGCGCTCGCTATCGGACCAAGAAATTGTGACCTCGATACTACGTTTTGCGCTTACTGTTACAAAACCTGTGAAGACTGCAATTATTGTGAAAAGTGCGGACTAGCAGTGTGCTGCGTAAATTGCGAAACATCTCCTATGCACCTAACAGAATGCATCTTCATCACAACGCATTGGAAGCCAAAGTTCAACGTTACAAAAACAAAGATACTTGGACGAATGCGTATTTATATACAATTATATCAATTGTCCTCACAACTAAAAGAATCGTTACTATTTTATCAACTTGATAATCCTTCTATGTTTTATGAATTAGAATATCTATGTTCAGGTTTCGTTATACCAAATGAACAGATAGAATTTATAAAAATCGTTCACTCGATTCTTAAAATAAACTCGTTTAGAATTCCTACGAACGATAGAGAAAAAACGATACCATTGCGTGGCTTGTTTCCTTTAGCAGCTTTCTTGAATCACAATTGTGTGCCAAATACTAGAAATGTGTTTAAAAATAATAACGTCATGGAAGTATATGCATCAAGAGATATAGAACTTGGAGAAGAGATATTTACCTGTTACACTAATTTCCTTTGGTGTACTCCAGTAAGGCGCTACCAGTTGTACAAATCGAAAAACTTTTGGTGTAAATGTACACGTTGCAAAGATCCATATGAAAAGGGAACAAATCTATCTGCGATAAAATGTTTCGATAAACATTGCACTGGAGCTATTCTTCCCGAAAACCCTATAAATCCATCGTCAGGATGGTTATGTGACACTTGCCGATCTAAAATACCTATTGAAAAAATCAACTCTGCGCAAAATATTGTAGGTAGTCTTGTGAGAATTATTTCAGAAGACAAAGATATTAATCCGAATGGTATAGTCCTAAAACGACTTGAATCATTCTTGCCTCCTTGCAGCCACATATTCGTCGACATACATTTGAGATGGGCCCTTAAGCTCGGATACTTTGAAGGAATGAGTTTATATGGTATTCTGAAATATATCAAATACTTTCTGTCGTATCAGCTTTCAGCTAACATAACTAACATTGACCTTCAAATAATAACAAGTAAACAAATGCGTAAGGCAATGAAATATTTTTAAAGAATGTAATCACTAAGTACACTCCACGGGACTGTCTCTTCAGGTGAGATTTCATGTTGTTATTTTTTAATATTAATTAAATAATAATGAAGTATGTTATTGAAATTACTTTGAAAACTTTCTATCTTTACCATTGAATTTGCTATTTTTAAGAATTATTTTCAACAAATCTAAAAGGGTAAGCTTGTAAATCGTTTAACTACATTAATTTGATATTGTATAAGTTATCATAACTACAAATATAATAAGTACAGCATCAAAAGCCGTCTAACGTTTCTAGGACATATTGTGGTTCTAAGCATGCCAAGGTTTATAAACATTGTGTACCCGTGTTACAGAAATTCAATTAAATTTACATACATATTGCAAGTTACACTCTCAACTTAGATACAACATCTTGTTAGCATAAAATTAACATGTATACTGTTTCTTATTCATTTTAATGTAATTTTCTTTATATGTTCAATGTATACCAATATAAAAGTAATTAAATATTGTATACTTTCAAGAACCTTTACTATAAAGAAGACAAAGATATTCAATTTATTAAAATGGTTGGTATAGAGTTATATTTGAGACCTATTAGACTTTGCAATGTCCAGATTTATAGAGAAGTCATATGTATATGTGAATTTATACCCATGACGTGAGTTCGGTTTCTGCTAGAGGTGAAGAAAGTTTTTAGTAAAGTCATACAACGTGTGAAAAATAAAATCATTACTGTCGCCCCCTCGCACGTAATTACTGCACAACAAACAACATTCATAAACTAACACTTGGAACGAAAATAGTTTAGCGACTGCGTTCTAGAGCGTCGCAAAACTGCGCATTTTCATAAATATATAAACATAAAGAGAAGAACGGAAATTCGTAATGCGTTCACAAGGCCTTGTGTTAATATTAAAGGCGATGTATACCGCATTGTTGCTTAAGTGTACACTCTGTGCTCGGACACACTGCTTGTAGGCAGACGGTGAATAAAATAGTCCGGCATTGTTCGCGAGGGTCAGTCAATCGATTTGTTGACATGGGGGCAGCGGCGAAGAACGCGCGGCCGCACGTCGTCATCAGGTGGATTTGCATACCTGAACCGTTAGTAATGTCAATCATTATCGCCAATAAGTATTGTCAATGCAATATTTACCTTATAGTTTATAGCTTATATTGTTTTCGTGTAATCTTTCATTTACGATCGTGAAATGGCTGCAATTTCTTCCTAATCAATGTTGTTATACTATCATTACCCGTGTATCCGTCCGCATGATATTAAAAAGAAACAAAAGTAAGTAGCCTATGTGTTCTTCCAGACTATCCTCTACATCTGTTCCAAATTTCATCAATACTCGTTAAGCCGTTTAGGCTACAAACGCTAACAAACATCCATCCATCCATCTAAACATTTGCATTTATAATATTAAGTATGAAGTATGATTGCTTAGTTTGAAAATAACGATATTTTTGTCGATTACAACTAGTTTATAAATTATAACAAAATATTTTAACAAAATATAATAATATCTAAAATATTTATGCTTATGTTTATGAGATGTTTGTGTTTCCAGAGCTGTCGGAGTATCGTCTGTCGCTGAAGGAGCAGCTGTGCCGCGACACGCTGCGCACGGCGGCGGCGCTGGGCGCGGGCGACGCGCACCTGCGCGGCCTGTTGCTCTTTCACCTGCACGCCGCGCTAGCCGAGCGCGCCAGGCGGTGCCCCGACCTGTATGACGTAAGCACCTTCTACTTCATAGAATATAATGGTCATGCATTATCCAATCTTACAGCGATTTTAATAACCATCTCAGAAGTTTTATTGACTACATTCTTATTACCACTATTTACAACTAGCTTTCGCCCGCGACTTCATCCGCGTAAAATAAAAAAATAATATAAAACATAGCATATGTTACTCACTGACAACGTAGAGTTTCCTCTTTTTAATATTAGTATAGACATATACTAGACACCAGTAACTATAAACACTTTTTTTTTTAAATTAACATACTTATATGGCGTAACTACAGCAACCGGTACTGAATTATTGCACACACTTTGTAATTTGCATTGCGCAACGGTTCAAAGTTTAGCATTCGTAGAACACGCTTGTTAATGATTTTTATATGAATGCCACACACCTTGTGTGTTTTGAATAATTTAACTAGGGACTAGTACATTTTCTGCAACTGAGAGCAAACTATTGATTGTATTATCTACGCACTATATTTTAATACAAAAGTGTGTTATCTGACCCTAAGAAACTGCAACATTCCTTTAAATAATAGGTAACAATCATATTTCAGGAGCTGAAGTCGGAAATTGAAGCTATTATAGATCAAGCATATACCATATTGCAAGGAGATATTTCTGCGCCCCCAGATTTGGAGCTAAGACACCGTTATCTAGGCCCGGGCAGTGATAAACCACAAGAAGAAAGATTTTTCATACTCGATACCTCAGAAAATCTTTCGGTCTCAATGAAATAATAATAGCAGTTAAATTGAATATTAAATAGTGTCATTTTTTCTTTCAAAGTTGTTAAATCTCGTCGGTTAATTTATCCTGTAATTGAAAAGTTTGCATTTAGAACGAACACGAAAGAGCAGATCTTTCATTACCTTAACAGTATTAACATTCATATTCATTCATATAGAGGTGCGCACACTACTCGATTTTTAATTGTGCAACTAAGCAGTTAAATGGACTGCGAAACAATCGACAATCGCACAAATTGTGCGATTGTTTAGTCAAAGGCGTGCGAACGCTCTCACTATTAAGATTATTTCAAATGTCTTTTTATTTTAGTTCTATTACCAGAAAAATAACTATTCACAATGTATTTTTTTTATTTTACAAGCAAAAATAAATGTCCCACGTATAAAAATTGTTTTTATTTTATTTGGTAACCCATAGAATGTCATCTTAATTGTCAGTGTCACTGTCTTTGTCAAATTCAATTGTCAATGCAGAATTTATGCAAAATGCAGTTTATGATTGGTTCATGAAATTAAATGCAGGCAATGAAAGAACAACGATAATCATAATAGGAAACTGCACTGAACATCGTGTTTTCCACGGGGAATTTTTATAGATTTTGGGGTTTTAATTGTGTTTTTTGTAAATATCTTTGAATTATTAAAGTGCAAAATATCTAAGTTTTTCTATCCTTGGATTCTAAACCCACCTGAATATACTGTAATCTATATCAATGCGAAGTAAAATATGATAAGTGCTATCTTAATAGGACTTAATGTTAATACAACGTATAATCATTGTTGTAAACCGCAAAACGCCCCTCAGTAAGTTCCAACGTATTCATTTCGTACCAAAATTAGTAAACCGCTGCAGATATTCTCATTTCAAAATGTCTCAATGCCAAGCGTTATTGCTCTCTTCCTCTAATTGTCATGGATACTCCATGTTGGAGTTTGCTAAAGAAGAAATATGCAATCTCTTAGAAAAGTAAGTATGAAAATAATATGTTTACTTTTATGAACTTCTATACAATTCCCACTTTTTCTGATTTTTTTATTTCAAGTGTCTTAGCCTATCATTAATTCCAGGAATAATATTGAAGATTTGCTGTTTGTACCTTATGCGCAAAAGAACTATGATGAGTACACAAAAAAAATAACAGAGGTTATAGAACCTTGGGGCTTTTCAGTCTCTGGTTTACATACATATGCAGAACCTATGGAAGCAGTCAATGATGCTCAAGCAATATTCATTGGTGGTGGTAACACTTTTATGTTACTTGACACCCTTTATAGCCATAACTTAGTGTCTCTTATTAGAGAGAGAGTATTTGAAGGGAAATTGGTATACATAGGAAGTAGTGCAGGCACTAATGTGGCTACCACAAGCATCCATACAACTAATGACATGCCTATAATATATCCACCATCTTTTGAAGCCATTGGTTTGGTTCCTTTTAACATCAACCCACACTATATTGATAAGAGTGAAAATGAAACTCATAAAGGTGAGACAAGAGACCAAAGAATTGGTGAATATATGGAGATGCCTCATGCCAAATCAGTTTTAGGATTGAAAGAAGGTTCCATATTACATATTGATGGGGACTGTCTAATATTAAAAGGTGTTGCTGGTGCAGTCTTGTTTGAAAAGTAAGTAAAATCAAAATTAGTTGACAAATAAGAGATAAGGATATATCAACATATTCCATAATAATTGTACATTCATTTAAACATCATTATATTTGCAATAAAACCTTATAATCTTGTTCCAGAGGAGGGAAGAAAACAGAATATAGTACTGGTGATAATGTATCATTTTTATTAGAAGAGTGAAGCTATAGTTATAATACTACATGAGTTTTAAGAGAATTATTATAAATGTTTATTAGAAATCATGTTAATGTAAAGTATACACTATTCTATAAAAATATGAATTTATTTGTCATATATTTTACACTTATAAAGACTTTAAAAAGCATTGCAGGAAAATATGTTTCAATATATTTAGTTTAAATTATGACGGTTTTAAACATTAACTCTATTGCACATTGTTTTGATCTATCACTTCACTCACATCACTCAAGAATTTTCAGTGTACTGACACATTTTCAACACATCAGGAACATTTTAATCCCCACTCGACAAAGTCATTCCGTAAATACTTCATTAAAAACATGATGTAAACAAATTTAATCTTTTTTCGGCCTTTGTCAGCCAGTTACAGGTTCTTGCATCAAAAGAGCTCGTGCTGTATGAAATAGAGACGGCTGTGGAGCCACGCGAGATTGTCCTGTACGTTCAGTAGCTGGTAAATGGCATAAATATCGTCGTAAGGCGAGATCGCGCCTTGCGCTTAAACCACGCGTTATTTCGCAGCCAGATCCAAATAACACAGCACGCTGACGTTTTCTCTTCTCGATGGCGACCTTGAGAAAAATAACGACAATGACTTTTTGTAATTAAAACAGTTAAATGTAACATTACCTAGTATTATATCTATTGTAAATCTATGTTAGGAGTTAATTATTTTTGCATACATTTGTTTTATGAGAATAAGAATATTTTGTGGAAATCATATAACCTACCTGAATGGCAGCAATTGGGTGTAGAGAGTTAACATCTTTAGGAATCTCTTTCTCTAAACTTTCCTCACATTGACCATTTTGTACCGCATCATCGCCATTATTTGAAACTTGTTGATTCTTTTCTGCTTGAATAGACTCTGCATTTTTGTCTAGAATTTTCTGTACTGTGTCTTTGCCAGCCATATGGATAGATAGGCCAATACGAGCAAGCACACGTTCTGGCCGCCAACGGTCTCTAGCCCCGCCAGTGGAAGGTACTTGTTCTCGGCGTCGCGCATCTGCTACTAGGCTTGCCCAATCGACACCCAATGCATCCCCTAAACCAGCTGAAATACAACTTGTATTATTCGCAAGTAGTTAGAAAGATGACTGAAAAGAAACTGATGACGAAATTGAAATCGTTAATTTCAATTTTATTATTTAAAAATGTAACAATTACTAAATAATCAGATATATCTGTTACCTCTTGTTCGTTCTTCTTCTAATTCCCCATCAGATATTTCTTCAAAATCTAAATTGGCAACATCATCATCCTCTTTACCTTCCTGTGATTCTTTTTCTTCACCAGCGCCGCCTGTGTCCTTTATCGATTATAAAAAATTCACATTAAAATTTGCTGCTATTTTTAAAAAAGTACCTTCTACCATATACATTTTATTTTATACCTGAGTAGAGTCTTTTTCAGATCCCTCAGGTTTTGATGTTACTTCATCAGCTGTTTTTTCTGCAAGAATTTGTTCATCTATGTTTTGGTCCAACATCTAATCAACATAAAATATTAATAAGTATCTAAAACTAGGTGCAATCCTAACAAAAGATAATTTCCAAGTCATACTGAACCAAATTGTAAAAATTAAGCAATATTAAGTATTTACAACTTTTTTGAATTCAACTTACATCTTCTCTTTCTAAGATATCGTCAGGATCGTCACTTATTTCACTAAGATCATCTGGCACTGGTTTGTCCTCAACTTCGGTTTCTTCCTGAGTTGATGGAGCGGTTGCTGATGCTGCAGGTGGCAAAGACTCTTTGACTGTAGGTTCAGGATCGTTTCTCTGACCGCGTCGTTTACTGCTGTCATTCCTCCCAAGCTCCATTCGCATTCCACGATTAAAATCTTCTGAAACATAAGGATTATGCATTTAGTCTTTGAAACTTACATCATATTTTGTATTAATTATAAAAACCTAACCATGATGTCTGCCACGGTGTGGCCCTGGAGGATGGCCACGATGATGCCAAACTTCCATGTCAGCATCCTTATCTCCCCATTCAGACATCTAAAATTAAAATTGCTCTGTGACAAATACATGTATATAATGTAATGTAATGTAAAATATATAAAATAGATAATTTTCTAGTCTACAATATATTTTATGTGTTCATACCAATGTGAGGATAAGGACAGCCAAGGAAAATGTGGGAAAGAATAGGACATGAATAGTTTCTTTTTCGATAGTCAATAAGCTCATACTGGTACAGTGTTTTGTAGAGAACATTTGCCTAGGACAAAAAAGAAAGGGAAATAAAATACCTTTAAACTTGTATTGAAATAATGTATTACAAAATACCTGAGGATCATGAATAGGCCAATGTCGCTCCCTACCCCAATCTCCTGGACCACGATAGTCTTCGTTATCCCAATCCTTATGTGGATGTATGTACCCACGTTCGCGATCTATGGACCCAGAACGACCCTCCCACGAATGGTCGTGATGAGGCCGCCGATCGTCATACCCTTGGAAAAATGTAGAATACTGATACAGTAATTACTAACATTAAATAATTTTTCGAAACATTTTCGATTTGTCTTAAAATTAATGATTATGGATAAAGTATAATTACCTATTTCAACTCCTCTGTGATCCATAGATTCACCATAAATTCTTTCTTCATCTTCAGGATAACCTCGAGGAGGCCCAGCCATATCATATCCAGGATCATAATGTCTTTCTCTTCCTTGAATATACCCAGGAGATCTTTCGTCATCTCTTGGCCCTCCATCAAAACGATCATCTAATCTGTCATAGTGTTCCATGTTATGACTATGATCATATTGACGTTCAATGCCCATTTCATAATCGCCAGGTTCTCTTTCTAGACTGTCTAACCTGTCTCTCTTGGTAGACCGATCTCTTTCCAATCTATCTTGTTTTCTTCCACCTCTGTCAGAATGATTATCTTGTCTGTCCTTTGAAGTTGTTGAATTTTTATCACTTTCTATTGTTCTGTTTGAAATTGCTGCAAGGGCAGCTAAACGTTCCTCTGGACGAGGTAGAAGCCTTTCCATAGGTTTATTAGGTTTTTCTAAACCTTTGTCAGATCCACCCCTACCACCTAATCCTCTGTCCCGACCCCTTCTTTTATTATCATCTCTTTTTATATCCTTATTTCTATCTCTTCCCCTATCTTTTCTATCATGCCTGTCTTTATCATCATGTTTATCTTTTCTTCTCTCCAAAGATCTATCTTTATGATCCCGAGTTCTTTCTCTGTCTCTACTTGCAGATCTTTTTCTGTGGCGTTCCACACTAACGTCTCTTCTAATTTGTTTTTTTGGCGATACTGGTCTACTCCTTTCAGAGCTTTCTTTTCTTCTTGGATCTTTTGGGTGTGACCCATGTCGTCGAGGTGATCTTGATCTAGCTTTTTTGGGAGATCGGCTGCGAGCTCTGGTGCGATCTCTGTCTTTTTCACGCTCTTTCTCTCGTTCTTTGTCTCTATCCTTTTCTTTATTTCGATCCCTATCTTTGTCACGGTCTCTTACAGAATGCGGAGAAACACTTCTGTTCCTTTCCCTTCTTACTGGTGATTTGGCATGTTTGGGAGCACTTTTGGTAGCAAGAGTTTTAGTCACAATTGGTGGAGTGCCACCAGCTTTTTTCCCTGGTGAAAGTGACTTCTTTCCTAGCGCTGCCTTTGTCAGTGTCTTTTTCTTTACATCAGTTTTCTTTAGAACTCTGTCATCTTTTTTGACATTAGTCTTTTTTGATTCACTTTTGTCCCTTTTCAAAGAATCATTTTTTATCAATTTCTTTTTAGATGGGGTCTCACAATCAGAGGAAGAACTCGAATTTCTTTTAAGTTTCGTTTTCTTTACTTTTCGCTTAGCATCTCTAAAATAGATTTTAATCAGTAATCAACATCAATAATATGCAACATCTTCAATAACAGTTTGTTTTTGCAATTTTTAGTCAGCTGGACAAATAACTATAACATTTACATAAAAATAAAGCTACTTCTATCAGCAATAACCAAAAAAGAAAGTGATGAAATGTATCGGTTCTTTATTACATTATTTAATTTATTTATTTAACATATACATTATTTTGATTTTATAACATCAGAAAATATTGGTTAACAAAGAGAAATTCAGTTTTGATAATGTTCGAAAATAAAGTCCATTATTCACATTTTTAAAAATTATGATAAATATTGATTTGTATCATTTCTGTATGTTATATTCTATGACTAGAAAAGAAATGCTTTTTCAAATCAGAAACAGGGATGCAAGTCAAATTCACAAAACAGCATTGAGATTCACAGCACATAAGAACAATCAGAATTGTGCCAACAGATTGTTGATTTGTTAATGAAAAATTATCACAAATTCAGTTCTTCAGTAAAAAGTATTACACTCTGAGAGTAATGAATAGAAAACTATATATCTAATAGGAGTGTAAACATATGGCAAATTTATAAATCAAATGTAAATTTAAATATTACCTGCCAGATGAGGATGATGATGACGTACCATCCGAGGACGACGACGAGACGCTTGAGGAACTGGAGCTACGAGACGAGGATGAGCTGGATGCCATCTTTTTCTTATCATTACGCATATCTTTAGTTGAATCCATTTTCAATTGCAATTCTAATTCGCGCTGCAACTGCTGCCTCCTTTTCTCCAATACATCTGTGTCAGCATATTCTAGGTCACTTTGATCCCAATTATCGATCTCTCCATCTGGACTGCGTCCTGTTCTAACTACGACTGTAGAATGCAATCTGCTTTTAGGGTCATCTTTAACTGCATTCTTAAGATCACTATCTTTGTTAGCTGCTCGCTGTTTCGATGGACTTATTAACGTATGCGTAACAGCAAACTTGCAGCCTTTGCCGTAAACGCAACTGCCGTGTTGTGCCCACTGTCTACAATATTCACTTGTTTTTTTACCACTTGTACTAGAAGTTTTTTTGGTCCCAAGGCGCTCAAAAACACTAGGTCTATTTGCTAGGTCCTTTGTTTTCGGTAATTCCACAGTAATTTTTCTTTTTCCTTGTTTTGACATTATAATTGAAAAACATTGGTCTTACCAAGTACACAATTAATTGAGACGAATGCGCATTTACTTTGCCCTATAAAGCTATTTCTATTGTTTACGATTTCATAAGATATATACTATAAGATTATAGATTAATTATTTATTCTATTACGGAAAATGTGTTACTTTAGTACAGAAAAGATTGCCAAAAACACCGACACCGATTCAAACGGCCGCCATTTTAACTTTTTTTTTGTGAGCGAAGAGCAGCGTAAAATGACTAGAGCAGGCCAGCAAATCTTTACTTTCTTAATTTTATTTTTTCGAACAGCAATGAATAACCGAAATAAAGCACAGTGGTAGCCTTATTAAAATAGGAATTTATATCTACAACTACTGCTATAGTTCAAAATAAAGACAAAATCTAGTAAAACTTTTCAAGACATGTGTAATATAAGTTGAATTAGATATATGGCAACATAGTATATACAAATATGTCATCTATGTCCATTGTGCTACGCTGATCTAAAAATGTGATTTTAATAAATAACAGTTTACCATTAACCTTAGTATTCTTTAATGTGGATATACATTTAAATATTACAACATGTAAAAATTGAGTTTTTATTTCTTATCTGTGTTACACAAACCTGCTGTTTGCTATCTGTCCACCCTTTTTGTCAAAAAAAAAACAATCTATGGTTCTGCATCTGTATCTGCGTTCTGTATTTCTATAATTTTTATTTTGCTAAATAATAACAAGCCACTCCATTTTTCTAGTTAGTTTTCAATTGAACTATGTAATTAATAGACAAGTTGATAAATGATCAACTTGAAAGTTAAATAAAAATTAAAATTAAGCTGCTTACAAAACAATCAGTTACAATGCCTTTGCTCGACGGAAAGGAAATCGATATATTTTTTGTAAGTATCATCATCACTGCTATCCAAATGATTGCTATAAAACTTATGAAAATATTGTTTTTGGACAAAAAACTTTTTAGGTTAGGTTCTAATAAATTTCTATTTGAGATTATGGATCTTGTTATGAGCTAATTTTCTATTGTTATAGAGTGAAGAAGATTTACCGTATGAAGAGGAAATATTAAGAAATCCTTACTCGGTCAAACACTGGTTAAGATACATTGAGCACAAGAAGGGTGCACCTAAACATGAAATAAATATGATATATGAAAGAGCTCTAAAAGAACTGCCTGGATCTTTTAAGTTATGGTATAATTATCTGAAAATAAGAAGATCTCAAATAAGAGGTCGCTGTATTACAGACCCTTGTTATGAAGATGTAAACAACTGCTTTGAACGGTCTTTAGTATTTATGCATAAAATGCCAAGAATATGGATGGATTATTGTACATTTTTAACTGATCAATGTAAGATAACAACTACTAGGAAAGCATTCGATTGTGCTTTAAGAGCTCTCCCAATTACACAACATCATAGAATATGGCCTTTATACCTAATATTTTTGAAAAAACATGACATTCCAGAAACAGCAGTCAGAGTTTTTAGAAGATATTTAAAACTTTGTCCTGAAGATACTGAGGAGTATATAGATTATCTTATATCAATAAGTAAATTAGATGAAGCAGCTGTAAAGTTGGCCCATATTGTTAACAATGAAAATTTTCAATCAAAACATGGAAAATCCAATCATCAATTATGGAATGAACTTTGTGAGCTTATTTCTAAAAATCCTGATAAAATTCATTCATTGAATGTAGATGCAATAATAAGAGGTGGGTTGAGAAGATACACAGATCAATTGGGTCATTTATGGAACTCTCTTGCTGATTATTATGTAAGAAGTGGTCTTTTTGAGAGGGCTAGAGACATATATGAGGAAGCTATACAGACTGTAACCACTGTGAGGGATTTCACGCAAGTTTTTGATGCATATGCACAATTTGAAGAACTTAGTTTAAGTAAAAAGATGGAAGAAGTTGCTAAGAAGCCAAATCCTACAGAGGATGATGATATCGACTTAGAATTAAGATTAGCAAGATTTGAATATTTAATGGAGAGGAGACTTCTACTGCTCAATTCTGTTCTTCTTAGACAAAATCCACATAATGTGGCTGAATGGCATAAGAGAGTAAAATTGTATGAAGGGAAACCTCATGAAATTATTGACACTTATACAGAAGCTGTCCAAACAGTTGATCCAAAATTAGCAGTAGGAAAACTGTACACATTGTGGGTGGGTTTTGCAAAATTCTATGAAAGCAATGATCAAATAGAAGATGCAAGATTGATATTTGAAAAAGCAACCCAAGTCCCCTATGCAAAAGTAGATGATTTAGCATCAGTATGGTGTGAATGGGCAGAAATGGAAATAAAACATGAAAATTATGAGGAAGCATTGAAGCTGATGCAAAAAGCCACAGTTTTACCTAGTAGAAAGGTTGCTTATCATGATGATAATGAAACTGTCCAAATGAGGCTATACAAGTCATTGAAAGTTTGGTCTATGTATGCTGACCTTGAAGAGAGTTTTGGCACTTATAAGTCTTGTAAGGCTGTGTATGATCATATCATTGATTTAAAAATAGCAACACCTCAAATCATTATTAATTATGGACTTTTCCTAGAAGAACACAACTATTTCGAAGAGGCATTTAGAGCCTATGAGAAAGGCATTGCCCTTTTTAAATGGCCCAATGTTTATGATATCTGGAACACTTATTTAACTAAATTTTTAAAGAGATATGGTGGATCCAAGCTTGAAAGAGCAAGAGATTTATTTGAACAATGCTTAGAACATTGTCCACCAGAATTTGCAAAAGCAATATTTCTCCTTTATGCAAAATTAGAGGAGGAACATGGGCTCGCCAGGCATGCAATGGCGGTATATGAGCGTGCTACCACAGCAGTGCTTCCTGAGGAAATGTTTGAAATGTTCAACATTTATATAAAGAAAGCTGCTGAAATATATGGGGTGCCTAAAACACGACAAATATATGAAAAAGCTATTGAAACTCTTCCAGAGGAAAGAGCGAGGGAGATGTGTGTACGTTTTGCAGAAATGGAAACTCGTTTGGGTGAAATTGATAGAGCCAGGGCCATATATTCTCACTGCAGTCAAATGTGTGATCCGAGGATAACATCTGAATTCTGGAATACTTGGAAAGAATTTGAAGTAAGACATGGAAATGAGGATACCATGAGAGAAATGCTTCGAATTAAGAGAAGTGTACAAGCCACATATAACACCCAAGTTAACATGATGTCTGCTCAAATGTTGAGTTCTGCAGCACAAGCAGCAGGTACAGTTTCTGATCTGGCACCGGGTATAAAGGATGGTATGAGAATGTTAGAAGCAAAAGCGGCTGAAATGGCTGTCCAGAGTAAAGGAGGTAATATATTATTTGTTCGTGGTGAAACCCAGGGTCTCAAGGAAAGTGGAGATAAGGTTCTAAATCCAGATGAAATTGATATTGATGAAGATGAAGATGAAGAAAATAGTGGAGATGAGGAAATAGCGCCAGTTCAGAAGAAAGAAATACCAGCTGCTGTATTTGGAGGTCTAGCGCCTGGAAAAGATTAATAATGAAAATAAATTGAATTTAATAAATTAAAGCTATTTTATTTTATAAAATTATACACATGAAATTACAGAGTTTACATTCAATTCACACATGGTTAACATATTTTTCAAGCATCTAGCGAATATGAAGTTATCCTTTTCATATTTGGCAGTATTTGTTTAAAAATTGTGAGATTTAATAACCATACATGCACTGCATTGTGCTGTTTTTTATTTTTGTGTGCCTATTTTTACAAGTCACAATGTTAGATGAAAAATTTAACATTTCTAATAGCAATATTCAATCAGTCCATAATCATAATTAATTTTTGTATTTCAACATCCATATAAACACTTTTCTCATTTTGTTTTCAGTACAATTGGTTTTTGTTTTTTTCCCATTATAACTGTAACTATTAAAAGGGCTCAAACATGCTATAATCAGATTGATAAATTGCCAAGAAGCGAAATTGTACATATTTAAGACTTGTTAAATTAAAATATTTTTACGTTTATATGCTGCAAATAATGAATGTTAGCTGTATTGTATGTAAAAGCACCATTGTATCATTCAAATTCTTTTTAATAAATGCAGGCTTATTTATAACCCAGCCGATTCTATACTGAATTAAATATGCCAATGAATACTTAGATATGGGATAATTATTTTTACAACTAAATTAAACTGTAATGAAAAATATCTATGTAAGTATGAAATTAAAGAAAAGACTGACCTTTTTTGGCTATTTATAAATCCTTGTACCATGTATCTTCAAGTTATATAAACATGAAATTAATCAACTGATTACCTGTATCTTTAACATAAAATAACATTGATTTGAGCAATTAATAAAGAAATTTACATACAAACATGAATAAAAACATGTGTACCATAAATCAAAACTGTACATTTATATGCAAAAAATGAAGAAATGCTTAAACTGTCAACAAAATTAAATAATGTCTCTGGGTGCTGTGATGAAATGTAGACAATTTGAATACATATTTTGTGCGTTGTCGGCAAATCTGGCCACTCTAATTTCATTATGCACTCCCCCAAACATAATGAGTTCACCATTACCTTTAACTAAAGAATACATGACTAATTCTTCAGGAGCACCATTCATATCTCCCAATCGGGGACATAACCAAGAGACGTAATTCATACAGTTGCCATTAAGAACTGTAGATATATCAAGTACATGCATTGTCAGTGTGTTTCGTTTTATTGGTGGCTGTCTATACATAACATCCGGCCTTTCTGCAGCCGGTGGATAGGGTTCTAATCGGTTTTCTAAATGTGCTATTTGTCTTTGATTTATCAGATCATTTTCATGTGGTGTATTATTTGATGTATCACAAGCAAATGCTGCCATTCTGTATTTGTTAGCTTCTTGTAGTTGTCTGACTATTTTCAGTCCTTTATTCTGTAAAGAGAAACAGATAAAACTAGATAGCTAACTAATATGCCAAAGTTTAGATAGATCGATGTTTATAAGTGTCACCTGAATAGCTCAATGGATCCCCATGAAATTTGGCATAGATGTAGTTTAGTAGAATGCATAAAGTTCTTACTTTTACTTAACTAAAATTCTGCACAGGCAGAGTCACGAACAAAAGCTAGTTTATTACAAAAACTAAAATGAATTCTGTTTCATAAATCTTACCTTAGTTTTATTCTTTCTCATTGCTTCCTTTTTATTTAAATCAATAACATTATTGTTAAGCTTCAAATCGGAACTAGGTCCAGCAGCATAATTTATTTCTTGACTAGTAACATTGTTTGCAATGACTTTTTCCTTTTCTTGTTCATTACTAGGACCTGCCATAGGCTCATTACTAACGTTGGCAGAAGCTTGTCTAGATACAGGTTGTCTAGGCAGTACTCCTCGTCTTCCATTTATATTTTGATCCCGGTCTAAAGGTCTTTGCAGACTTTGCTCGATTCGAACAGAAACTGGTGCATTTTCTGGCCTATTTAAAGCAGACAGTCTTACAGCAGAAGTAACCAATGGTTTTGCCCCATTCCAACCATGTCTACTCCTACTGAGGCTTACAACCATGTCTCCAACTCTACATGCAGGGTTGCACCATATATTAGCAGATGCCCACTCTTTATTTTTAACTGCAATTTCTTTCCATGTCCATGTAGGACCTTGCATGGTCAAGATCCAACAATCACTATAAACGAAACGGTTGTGCAATGTTTGTATTCCACCTAGAAGCATCAGTCTTTCAGAATCCAGAGTAATTAGTGATTGAGCATAGCGTGGAGAGGGTCGTGGCTTGGTTGTTTGTTGCTTCCTCCAATTGAATGTGGTTATATCAAGTACCCAGACATCATTTGAACATTGCATTTGGTAATTTTGGGCTGCAGACATGACTAACCCTCCAAATACAATCATCTCATCTCCCCTGATACAAGCTGAGTGGCCTGCCATGGGGGGTGGTGGGTTTGTGGCAGTTATCAAAATCCATTTATTTGTAGTCACACAATATAAATGAATATCATTGAACATAGTGATATTTTGATAGTATTGCGAGAGAGAGGGATATGTCCATCCTCCAAAAACAATAAGACAATCTTGATAATGGACCATTGATGTGTATGCCTTGGGCACAGGATAAGTCCCAGTTGCTAAAGGTCTTATCCAACTTCTTTTAGATAAGTCAAACATCCAGAGATCATTAAATGAAGTGGAATTTGTGGTACATCCACCAAATACGTACATATTATTCTTCAGAATACAAGCTGAATGAGAAAATCTTTTTGTTATGGTGGGCCCAATATCAGTACAGGTGACATTTTTCCACAATATATTAAACTCAGCAACAGCTTTGATTAGCTTTATGGATGTCTTACGCAATACATCTGAAAAAAATTAAACCAATGTGAAAATACATCTCAAAAATGGTTTCGTAAATGTTAATGTACAAAAAAGATTTGTAAATGAGAAGACAATACCAGACGTCACTTACTTTGAGCACAACCACACCATCTCTTGCAGACGGTCATACAATTTTGCAGGTCTTTATACGGAGGTAGAAAGCTCAAAATAAACTCCAAAACTTCATCGGGAAGGTCTTCGATTGTTGTTGATAGTGTTTCATGTTCCCATGACTGTTGCATTAGTTCCATTTTGTCTTGGAGTGTTCCTATTAATTAAATCACAATTTATCATTCATCCATATCATTGAGAAATGAATATGTTACGGATTATTAAACTGTAAAAGAACGTTGACTGTTAAAAACAATAGGTGGTTCCCACCGATTTTAAAACATTGTCTTTCTTGCACATCGTGAAAATGTCATAAATAGATTTATGTCAAATTGTCAGAAGATAATCGCGGAATTTTGACGTTCCACTATATTTTATGATCATGCGCAGTAATTTAATACAAAAGATATTAACCAAATCAAATATAGGTATTTCACTAATTACAAATGCGAAAAATAAAAATCCGTTTTACCTATGCAGCAAATTCTCATTTTCTTGGTCTTGTATCAGACTGGTTAATCAGTCGCACATTTTTTACAGGGTAATCTTTTATTTGATGCATCAAATTTAATAAATTGCGCCGAAGGCATATTAAGATTAATTTTTATTCAAGTAGAGTTAAAATTTAAGTAGTAAGTAAAAGTTATGATTATTTCTAACTCTTCATATCTTACAATTAAGTAAATTATTTTCGGACGATTGTTCACCTTTCCCCGCGAATGTTTAAAAGAAGTTTTGTTATTGTATAATAAAGCAAGATTAATATAATTTTAGTGATTTACATGCGATGTAAATGATCAAATATGTATGTTACAATTATTCCAAGATGAGTTTTAAAGAAAAGAACATTAAAATAATCTTATAATGTTATGTCATGTCGATAATTTGACAGATAACCTGAAAAAGAACTGTGTAAATGTAAATAGTGGTAAAAGTGAATGTTTATAAATTAAAAACTATTAATAATGCAACACCTAATACAAGCCAGTCCAATATTTGACAAATTGAAACATTTACAACAAGCATTGTCATACAGAATTCATCTTTCAACATCACAAAAGGTGATAATTTTGTTGTGTGGTTAAACAGCTGACCTTGTATTTTTTTTTCAAAACTCTTATAAAATTGAGAAAAAATGGATTGGCATTTTTTTTTAATTTCATCCTATTCTTATAATGTAGCAAGTGTTACAGCTGAAATAAACAAGTTTATCACTTGTTAACAACAGATTTATTCAAAAATATTCGAAAAAACTGTCATGGAGTAGCCTTAAAGCTTTATATTGTTCAAATGATAAGATAATAGTGAATATTAATAAGATACTAGTATGGATGAAAATAATTTCTCTCCGACTCTTAATATTTTCTTTAAACTTTAGGTTGTGTTATGGAGCATAGGTGTGGTTGGTACAAGTGCTGTTGTGGTAGGAGTGTTATCCAGATACCTCGCCAGGAGACGTGCGAAACCCATCCTCAATCCGAGAATTCAGAGGGCACTTAATAAAAGAATTTCAAGAATGCGAAGTCCAAATGGAGGTAATTTATAAACATTTAATTGTACTGCAATATCTCCCAGGCCGGTTCCTACTTTCATAAATTTATTTTGTATTTGATTCTTATTCTTTACATTGATGTATGCAGTTATTTGGTGTTTTAAGTTACCTTTTCCTTGTTTCAGGGATGGGATCAGCTGCTAGCAGCTGTGGCCGGAGTAGTCCCCTTGGGTTCAGTGAACGTCTCTCTATGGCATCAGGATCTGTTGGTTCCGGTGGTGGTGATGCAGCGCCGCTGTCACCGCAGCAGTTAGGTGTTATGGGTAAGTACTACAAATAATATTTTTTTTATCTATTTAAATAAGGTCTTATTCTAAAAGTTTTACCAACTATTAACTACAAAAAGTTTTAAAACTGACCATGGTACAGCGCCATCTATGGTTGAATAGCTTGTTCTTTTAAAATAAAAATGTCGGGTTGCGTTGTTTTATTTTTAGAAAAGGTTTTTTAGTGCGTATTGATATGCACATATTTAATTCATGCATATAGGTAGGGTCAAATATAGTTCAATGCTTGTAGGGGTTAAAGCAAACTTTAAAAATTGATTAACGGCGTTTGGTTAAATAAAAATTTTTGCAGCGCCATCTATTGATGAGTAGTTAAAAGGGGAAGACAATAGTGTTTTACACTGTTTAGTTAATTTATGGTGTACAGTACAGATGGCAATTATTAATATAAATCAAATCAGTTTTTAAAACATTTTACTTCAAATCATTGAAAGATATTTTTAAATTAACCAACTAACTCGTTTTAACACACTTTATCTTTTCATTTTTTCTTTGCCGGCCTGCAATGACTTACATTGCATTTAAGTCATTTTAAGAAATTCTACTAATGAAACATTTGAAAATAGTGTTCTAATTTTAATGTTTTACATACATATGAAAATATAATATTTTTTTTATTATTAAATTCATAATTTTGTCTTCGATCTTGTCGTCTTTTATGTTATTGATAGACATGGCTCGTTGGTCTAGGGGTATGATTCTCGCTTTGGGTGCGAGAGGTCCCGGGTTCAAATCCCGGACGAGCCCTGTCTTTTGTTTTTTCACTTAACATAATTAAATTTTTTTTAAGAATAAATTATTGCACAATTTTAAACTTGTATATAAAAGTCAAAGAGGTACCTGCAATGTAGCCGTCTTGAAAGTATCTCATTGCCGTTTGTTCTTTGGCGTCATTGCTACCTGCAATCTCATCGCAGTGCCAATCGCAACTTTTCTTTTTTAAAATAGAGCAATGGAACCATACCCTTATCAAGATGCTACGCGATGTGGCCTATTTTCAAACAATAGGGCGGTAGGTTCAGCAGGGCTCCGTTCTTTAGAATTCCTTGCACGTTTGCGACCTACTGACACAAGGAGATATCTGTAATCACATGGCACGACTTGTAAATTGCAAGGAACGAGCATGTTTTACAACTCTGTTCTCTCTTCGGTGTTAGTAAACTATGTGTAGGTATAAAAACTTCTTTTTTTTAAAATTCCGTTTGTTAGTATATTAGTGTCGTTATTTTTATTGTATATTATAATTTCTATTATTATTAACTCTATATATTTTTTTAATACGTAAAAGATATAATGAACGCAATAATGTTACGTGTAAGACGTGACTACTAATTTCAATAGTGTAGGTACCGGCTCGTTGGTCTAGGGGTATGATTTTCGCTTAGGGTGCGAGAGGTCCCGGGTTCAAATCCCGGACGAGCCCAATGTTTTTGTATTTTTTTTTAAAGTATTGATTCTTAATTAATTGAAACAAATAAAAATCATGACATTGTAGTATATGCCTCAAAAACATTTGCATATTATTCTTATACTTCAACATTTTTAACGTAATGAATTTGTGAACGTTTTTTTAAATCAAAATACGAACTAACTTCTTGCTTTAAATTATTCTTAAATGTAATTAATAAATTAGTTCTTTAAAATAACTAAGATTAAATTTCAGATAGGGATAAACAAATATCGAGATTTATCTACAATGTAGTTTAAAATTCTTGATTCCGTAACGACATAAGTTGATACAATGTTTGTCGGAATTCGATATTTCGTGTCGTAGCTGTAGATTTCCACTGTAGTCATTCCAGTAAAAATGTATTGCTATCTCAGCTTTCTTAAACATAATGTAAGGGATGCCAGATTCATTTAGTACGAGAGTGAAAGCAATGGAAATCCACGATTACATAGAGTTACGTCATGCTCCCTTGGGGTTACCGATTCTTTCTAACGAACCAACTGTAAACATTTCTTCGAACAGGGAAAGTTAAGCGAAGTCTTTTCCTGGGGCGTGTCTTTCGCCAGTTATCCTCAACCTTTTATAAAAAATTAACTTCGTTTGGTCACAATCTGAAAACTAGTGGAAGTATTTTTAAATCAGTATTAGGCATCATCTTTAGTTGACGTTAGTTAATATTCTAGACTAAAATATAATTGAATAGCTATGTCATTGAAGAATAGATTCAATTGATCTGTAACTAATTAATCTCCAATTAATTGCACTTTTAGAGATTTGAATTGAGTTGCGAGTGCATCTCACTCGTCGAAGGGTTTCATATCCCGTGTTAGGAGCATACCGCATCGCACAGCACCGCACCCTACTGTCGGTAATAATTAAAACTCTTCCAGTCGCGTAGCTCTAAGCTAGACTCCACTGAAATGTCGCCACAAAGGGAAGGGAGCGTCGCGGAATCGCGGGTGAAAGGAACACTTCCTGTTCGTACAACTCAAAGTGTATGCTTATATCGTCAAGTGTAAGAAATTGAAGATTTCTAAAGCTACATTTATAATGATTGATGTTGGGACTTTGTATTTTGAATGTATGGAGTTTATTATTTTTGAATAACAGGTTTAATGATATGCAGACACAAAGTGGTTGGGTATTTATCGGTGAGTGTACATAGGCTATACTTTTTTATAATTTTCAAATTTCACGCAGACGAAGTCGCGAGCAACAGCTAGTTTGAGATAAAATGAATGTGCTGCATTACCCGTGGATTAATGTATATGACCAGCTTACTCTGAGATTACCGAAATGATTTACCTATGAAGAAATATCCCTCTTTGACCGACTTCCCAAAAGAAGGAGGTACTCAATTGTCTATTTTTTTTTTATGTTACGGCATAACTTCGCCGCTAGTGGACCGATTTTGATTCTTTGTTTACTTCAAAGTTGGATAACTGTTTTTTTCTTATTCAAGCGTACATCGTATCGCTTACGATAAGAGTTCTTTCCTGTTCTAATAAAGGGCTTAACAAAACCTGGCGTGCAAACGACTTCTAAATTAAAGAACACCGTCACTAAACTCCCTACCTTCTTACCACAGTCACGAAACTGAACGACTTAGTAGAGTTTTATGACGATACTGTGAACTATCGATGTGCAGTAGAAACTTCTCCCTTGGAATAATTTTATTCATACTAAAGTGCGTTTCCATTGCCTACAAAGAAATGTAGAAAACAGTAATTTTAGCAATGAAACCAACAGTTAGATATTTGCTATTTTTTGCAATGTCAGTTGCAGTAGCCTTGTGTCAAGTGAAAGAAAAAATAATTTTACTCGAATCTTTTGATGTTCACTGAATACTAGCGCATTTTGTCTTCAAGGATAATTTTTTTCTTATCTATATTTCTATACTAATAATATAACGAAGAATGATTTGTATTTTTGGATATTTTTATATATTTAAATAACTCAAAAACTACTAGTGGGATTTTAAAAATTCACCGTTAGGAGGGTAATTTATCTGTTAGTAACATAGTCTAAATTTTTTATTATTTTAAATTCCACGAGGACGAAGTCGCGAGCCACAGCTAGTGTGCTATAAGAATGTTTTGTGTTAAACAATCTCTGTACACTTCGAAATGGCTGGAAAGTAATTTATATTTTGGTGGAATATTAATAAAACGCAAGTCACGATGAAGAATGAAAAAGATTTACAAAGCAATGAATTTCGTAACTGTCTGTGATATTACAGAATCGAAATCAGAAGCTTTATTTGTATAAATAGATCAATGGTTTAGAAACATTGATAGGCGAGGTTCTAAATTAATTTATTGATTAATAAAGCTGACTGGTAAATATTTCTGGCACCGATTGCGTTTTAGTGACGTCATCCGTGGTTTTTTTATATAACAAAAACTTTTTAATAAAAAAACAAAACCGACTTCCAAACAAAATACACTAAAAACAAAACAAAATGCACTAAAAACAAAACAAAATACACC